GATCAAAAGCAATTTGGAAAGCAAAGGGTTTATTTCATCTTTCAGTTTACAGTCTGTCAGGGCATGAACTAAGGCAGGAAACTAGATGCAGGACCTGAAACAGAGACCACAGAGGAATGCAGCTTATAGATTTGTTCCCCTTGGCTTGCTTAGCCCACCTCCAGGACCACCTATCAATGGGTGGCAGAATATAGTGTTCACCATTAATCAAGAACATGCCCCCATAGACCTGTACAAAAGGCCAAGAGTGGAGACATTTTCTCAATTAATATTACTTTTTCTCAAATGACTCTGGCTTTTATCAAGTTGACAAAAGACAAACAAAAAACAAAACAAAACAAAAACCCCAACTAACCAGGACACACATACACAGATAGAGACACAGACATACATACATACATACAGGCAGGCAGGCAGGCAGGCAGGCAGACAGGCAGACAGACAGACAGAGAAATACACACAGTTTCTTCCTCCTCTTCCTCACAATTTTCAGATGGACATCAACTACCCCGCCCCCATGTTCAGAGACTATATTAACCTTCTGATGTTTCCATGAAGATGCTAAAGGAAAATGAATGAGCGCTGGTCAGCAGCAAGAGCAAAAGATGCGGCTCCAGCAGTCAGGTAGATCTGCACCTGTATGTTGATGACAGAAACACAAAACTAACTTTCTTGTGACACTCTCTCTCTCTCTCTCTCTCTCTCTCTCTCTCTCTCTCTCTCTCTCTCTCTCTCTCTCTTTCCTTAAAACCGTCCAACATACATTTTTCTTTGTCAAAATCCAGAAAATATTTAGCCTAGAACAGTTCAGAATCTAGTTACATATTTTTCTATTGTTCTGGAAAGTATCAATCCTGGGCAGGGAGGAGATGTAAAAATCCCATTTGAACTGGTCAGTCTGGAAATTCTGAACCACTTTGATAAAACTCGAGTACAACAGGTCCTGAGTCTGCCATTATATTGACATTAGGAGGCATTTAGACAGCCTGCCAAACCAAACATATTATTAATGTTCATAAATTACCATGCACCCAGAGTCCTTGACAGCTATGCATTGTCTTTTGTCAGACACATGAGTTCTACTGAGTGCACAATTAGGTTAAAGGATAAGGTCACTTAGCTAGAAACAAGTCCGCTAATATCATGAGTAGCAGGAGGCTGATTGCTTTAGTAACTAAAATGTTTCCAAACAAAAACACAGGGAGCGTTGCAAGTACACCTGTTTGCATTAACCTTGTGGTGCCACGTGTCTTATTGAGTACAAATCTGTAACAGTCTTATAATCTGTATGAGTGGGGAAGTTGGGGGAGTGTTATCTGGGGTGAAGGGGCTCTCCTTTCTCAAAGAAGAAGGGGAGGGAGGAATGGGAGGAGGAAGTAGATGGAGGGGGAGCTGATATTGAGATATAAAGTAAGTTAAAAAACTATTTCATGATATCAAAAAAAAAAGAAAGAAAAGAAAAAAAGAAATCAAGCAAGTCACATGGATGTGAAAAAAACAGAATTCTCCTTAATTAAAGCCTATTGTGTGAAGCATCTTCCTGGATCACAAATAGGCCATGTTGTACAAATCTATCTCCTATTTTCCCTTCTAGGACACTAAGGCTCAGAGCTGATATTTCAACAGTAGGTTCCTGGTCCAACAGCTTCAGCTCTTATCCCCTTCCCTTTGCTGGTGTTCTTTTGTTTTGATTTTGTTTTGAACTCACAGATATCCACCTGCCTCTGCCTCCCAATTAAAGGTGTCCCAGTACTGCCTGGTCTGGTCCTGTTTTTCATTTTCACCATGTTGCCCACCTTAGCACCTTGCTCCGCCCCCTTTTTAATTTTCCTTGGTGGCTTCCCAGCGTCTTAGGTAAGTCCAGTACTTCCTGTTGAGTGACAGGCCCGGTGAGAGGGCAGTGTCGAAGGAAGGGGCACTGCTGGGCAATGGGCCAACGATCTTGAGTTGGTCTTCTTTCTGAAGCCCTTTGGACCCTTGATCACAGGGTAACTTTTGTGTCACACAGGGTATATATTTGTCAACCACAACATGAATCTGTAACGAAGGAGGATGGACGTACCATCAAGGTGTGAAGATCTTGTCAAAATGCTAAGAGTTTAATAGCTCTTACTTTCAAAGGTCCTGCACTTTTCCACTTTATGCCTGCCTTTGTTCCTTGTGTTGGGTTAGAAGCCTATCCTCAGAAAAGTCCATTTATCTTAGTAACATGAAACCATGAGTTTCTACAGGGCATGCACTTATTCTCGAAACTCATTTACATCATCGTCCTTAGCTATCCCTATTGGTCACAATGTCATGACTTCAAAGTTTGTGATTTCATGTGGGCTCTACACTTTCTTTTATGAAGACGATGCTTCCTTTACTCAATCTTTTATACTCACATACTGAGCACTCTTGATTAAGAGAGTGGCAGTGAGTGAGGAAAGGCCAAGACTGTTTCAAAGCAAACAACAAGAGAGTACACCATTATGACAATTAGAATTTCTTCTCATGTTGAGCTGGGGATGGAGCAGAGTTGAGGGCACATACCCAGCATTCCTGGGGCCTTGCCAGCACCACACAAAGTTAAAACAAAAAAAGAGCCAGGACTTTTTTACATTTCTAGAATTCATGAACTAACCATTTGGTGGTTGCCAGATACAGAAAAGTTACACTGAACAACACTGTGATTCCTGTAAGGTCTTCCAGAACACCTTTGGGAGGCCAACAAGTCAATCACTGGTATATATGGTCTGCGCTGGCACGTGCTATGAAGATGGCATCTGTGGCTACAATCCTGCCACCAATTAAAATGCTGGGTTCATTCCAAGAGAGACTCATCTGATACCTTTGCAGAATCTTTTTTTTTTCCTTGTGATTACTTCCTACCTGAATTTTGTCAAAACTTCTTAAGAATCTGGATCAACTTTTCTTTCCAATCTAAAGGAAATGGCATGTTATCATCAGCTGTGTATCAGTAAAGCCCAACCCCCTTCATACCAAGCCACATCTAGTGCATTGTCGGGCCTCTGCCATGCCTGCCTCACACTTCCTGAAAACACAGCGAGACTGCCACAGTTCCGCGTTAACTGAGAGCACTTGCTTTTCTCAAGTGTTAAGTCAAAGTGTTAAGTAGAAGTTGACATGCTTGTGACTCATTTTAAAATAGCAAATTATAATCAGCCAACACTGTATGAAGCATAAAAGTCATTCTCTAAATCACATGTCTACAGAAAGACTGAGCTGGGAAAATGTGAAGAACAAATCCGAAACACATCTCCTCCATATACTACATTACCAGTTTGTCATCAACCCTTGGAAGGATTTCGAAAATATGCTACTGATATTAAGGTTGCTATAATAACAAAACTCTCAACTAGCTCACTGAAATAATTTTTAATTATTATATGAGTGTCTGCAGTGTGTGTGTGTGTGGGGGGGTGTCAGAGGACAGAAAAGGGCATCATGGAATACACTGGAACTGTAATTATAGGCAGTTATGAGACACATAGTGTGGGCAGTATGAACCAACTCTAGAGGAGCAGTAAGTGTTTTTAATTTCTGAGACATCTCTGTAGATCCCCATGCCCTCTCCCAAGTAATATTGTTAATGTTTAAATAACTATTGGCATTTAGGCAGTAAAATTTAGCAACTATGGATGCTTTTAGCTTTTTGAAAGATAACTTTTCTATACAAACATAGTACAAAGAACACCCTTAATGAAAAACAAAACTTTTTTTTTTTTACTGTACATGTGACTAACTTGGACTTGGGTCCCAGACTCTGGATCTACAGTAATATTTCTCAAGTAATAATTGTGGGTCCTAGAATGTTCTTTTTCTTTGAAACAACTGCTCCTTTGTCCACATTCTTTACTTGGCTTTATGTGGTATCTGCCATCAGATACCACAGATCTTTGGACACGTGCCTAATTTTTTCTAGTTTGACATTTGGATACCTAATTTAAAGGTCAAATTCTGATGTATAGAAGTCTCTAAACTATGTTTCCTTCTTTGCTTACAGATGAATCCCAAAGTTTTAATTCCTACTTTCCTTTGATTCTTCTTGATCACTAACTATCTCCAGAAAAAAGACAAAACTGTGATGTCACCTCCAACTTAAGACACAGCATCTTTACAAACAGTTAAAATAAATATTGACTCTTGTTTGCAAAATTAGTCCAATATATTTGTAACTTTCAACTAGGGAAGGTCTCAAACTGGGGGAACCAAAATATTTAACTGTAGAGAAACTAACTAAAAGACAAAAAAAAAAAAAAAAAAAAGAAGGAGGAGGAGGAGGAAGAGAAAAAAAAAGAAAAAAAAAGCAACAAAGAGCTATGGTAAGATGCCAGGGACTAAATCACTTAAGCAACATTAAATAATGATGACTTTAAGAAAAACTGGAGAGATAGCTCAGTAGCTAAAACATTTGCTACTATTGCAAAGGATCTAAGTTTGCTTCCCAGCAACTACATGAAGTAGCTCATGACTGCCTGTAAGTCTAGCTCCAGGAAGACAGCACTCTCTTCTGCCCTCCTAGGGAAGCCCTGAACAAGTAGCATACACTAATGCAGACACATATAAAAACATTAAAGTGAAAATAAATTGTAAAGTGTGGTAGCTCAAACCTTTAATCCCAGCACTCAGGAGCAGAGGGAAGGCAGATCTCTGAGTTAGAGACCAACAAGTTTCAGGCCAGCCAGATACACAATTGCACACACACGCACATGCACACACACATGGTGTGCATGCACGCATGCACGCACACACACACACACATGCAAGTGTACATACACACGCACACACATTAATCAAATATTGAGGAAATACACAAACATCAATGGGATAGAATGATAGAAAGAGGAGCTTTGCAAGTTTCATTCTCTCTTGGGACTGTGAGACCATAGATACAGATGACAAGGGTTCAAAATGAAGTTTGTATGATGATCCTGTGGCCATCACATGGTCTGTGCTGGGGACATCTGTGTCAGCATGTCAATGTGATTTTCCCTTACCTCCAGATGCTCTAAAATATATGGTGGATTTGTCATGCCCAGCCTCAGCATGGCTCCCTCAGGAATCACTTCCACCAATTTCCACAGGAGTGTGGGGAGATCTGTGCCAATGTCTCTGCCATAGGCCCCGGTGTCCTCGCTGGTCAGCCATATCTCACAAACACCCTCTGTGAATTAAAGAGGATAATTAACAATCCTTCACCATACAGCTGCTCACCCTTTTTAATGCAATATTTTTCAACACTATTATGCAGGCAGGACGGGCATTCAATTGCAGAGAGAAAGCAGCTTATCCCTCTGTGGCAGTGGGTTATTAAGTTCATTTTATGAACACCAGAGAGTTTCAACAATGTCATAAATTACCAGTGTGCCCTATGAAGTCATTAACTTTCACAGCCAATCAGTTCAAGCATACTTCTCCAAAGCACTCTGATCAAAGCTAGAGCTTTAGAGCCACTCAGAGAACACTCACTGAACAGCATAAACCTGGAATGGAGACAGTTCCTCCACAGAATAGGAACTGGGAACACTAAGCTTGTTAGTCAGCCTGTTACCAACCCCCACAAAAAAATGTCAACCGTAGTCAAGGATTAACTCACAAGTTATTAATTATAAGAAATCCATTTTTCCCATAGTAACTATTTTAATTTCTCTCCTTTATTCAATTAAAATAGTGCTCACTTTGTTTTCATATTTTTTAAAAAAAAGATGGTTGTGCTTAAATTAAGTGGCTGCCTTGGAAACCCTCCTACACTCACTGCTTCAGACCTCAGGAAAGATTATTTATTTATCTATCTTTGTTGCTATAAGGAATCCTATCTTCAAATGCTGTGCTTGAGCTTGGATGGGCAGCATATGCCAGTGATCTTAGCTCTCAGGAAGCTAAGGCAGGAGGACTGTCCCAAGTATAAGGCCAAACGAGGTTTCAAAGTTCCAGGTTAGTCTGGACTATAGAGCAAGCCCTTGTCTGAGAAAGTCAAACCAAATAAGCAGACAGTTACAGCTTGCAGTAAAAGCCCTCCAAACATCTCGCGAAAATACTGTTGGGTTACCTAGTGCTATTAAAAAGGAGTGAAATAGAATGAGCAACAGCCACCAAGGTTTCCTGATAGACACACACACCCTTCCTGAACCCATATTCAGTGTGAGGATTAGCTGATAGTAAAAGGTCAAATGATTCAAAAGGCTAAAGTAAACAAAATGAGTGTGAAGTTAGACCTCAACATACAGGGGCATTAATGTAGTCTCCAGTGGGAAGCATGAAGGAAGTTTCTAGAAACCATCTTAAAATTGTCATTTCATGACAGAAGACTTTCAAGGAATACTTAAATTGTAATAGCCAAGAGAGGCAACAAATGGGACTTCTTTGTGAACATGAATAGATTCCAATTGTACAGAAGAAAGCAAACAACAGAGCTTTAAATTATCAGCAATACGACTCACAGCTTGGAGCTAAGAGCGTCGGAAACTATTCTTTCTTTAGATAACAGCTATATATTTTATTATTTTCAAACCTGAAAAAAAACTATGTATATGACTCAGGAGACCCAAGAGTAGATATGAATGGCAGTTCGGTTTTCACAGAGAATCAAGAATCAGCAATAAGTACAAAAGCTATTGAAACGAAGTTCAGTTAAAAACAAAAATTGGAATTTTTTAGTATTAAAATCAGTAATGTAGCTGAGTGTAGTAGGGACACCTTTAATCAGAAGGCAGAGCCAGGCAGATCTCTGAGTTGGAAGCCAGACTGATTTAGATAGTGAATTCTAGGCCAGACAAGGCTACACAGTGAGACCTTGTCTCAAAACTAAAACCAAACCACCAAAATAAGTAATGTTAGGAATATCTTATATGCTCCCTCATTTTCAATGTACAGCTTCCAGAAATAATAAATCCCCAAAGAAATAAATGTGGTAGGTATGGACGTTCTCTTTAAATTTATTTTTTCTGTTTAACATGTAGTATGTCAATACCCGCCCACCTCATGGCTCAGGGAGCATAACGTAGAATGGGCAGGAAGAATGTAAGAGAAGTGGGCTCTGAGATGCTGTCTTCTGAGCACACTGGACTTCTGAGGTCACCTGCACAAGCCAAGACCAGTCAGCACTCAAGCAGGCAATACACTGGGTTGCACCCTCAAAAAAGCAGAGGACATAAGGACAGCAGGTGGCTTGGCTAGGGGAGAAAGAAGGAAGTCTGAAACGGCAGGTATTGGAAATACAAGAATCACAAATTCAAGAAGCTAGCAGAAATGAAGTGGCCTTTTATATACAATTCTACAGAAAGGGACACAGCATTGAGAAAAGAAAAATGGCTGACATGTAGATTTGGTGCAGAGCAATGGTTTTAAAATCCCCTTCTCTTTTTGATAGGTCAGGACTTGCATCTCTCCCAAACTCCCCCTTTCTGTGGCCTAGGTCAAAAATTCTCACCCAGTGAACAACTTGAAGCTTGACTCTGCTCTTTTTTTCTAATTCTGGGCTCTATCATGAAGCAGACCACCTGTAACTTTCTAAATCTGAGTTGTGAGACAAGCTATGAGAAAGGAGTGGTGAGTGCTCCTGCTTGTCAACAAGTCTGAAAGTAGAACCTTCAATGTGTGTCTTAATATATGATCAAGCTATGGTGTATATACGTGCATGAAATTGTCAAAAATAAAAGAAACTCAAAAAGTGTTCCAATTAACTGTGCTCTCTCGATTTTAAAATTATGTATTTCACCAGACACTGCACTCATGAAAACCTAGCTTTTTTAAATGACAGGGTTTAACGTACCATAGCTTGGTCTAGAGAATACTCTGTAACTGAGGCTGGCTGCAAACCCTTGTCTCAGGCCCCAGATAATAGGACTGAACTATCAAGCCAGGATTCATACAACCCGCTTTAAAAAAAAACAAGACAAAACAAAACAAAACAAAACCCCTGTAATTTAAAAAATAGAAAAGGTCCAAGAAGAAAGATGGCCAAGTATCAACGTAAACACATTTTAAAACATTCTGAGAGAGGTTATAAAAACAGGACATTAACTGTGATTTTCCAGTTACTGGCATTTGAGCAACACAATGTGAATATTTTTAAATGAAAGGAATCTTAATTTATAATTTTTCCATCCAAATGGTTCCACATATGCCTTATGTAGAAAGAACAAGCTCCTGGAACAGTGGCCTCTCTGTTGCTAGATGAATCTAGAGGGGAAATCACTCTGGACAGAGTGGAAATGATATCCACTGGAGAGAACAGTGGTCTGCTCCCGCAACTGTAAATGTGGGGAGCAAATAGCCCCTGGGGCTGCAACCTCAAATGATATCACACGAGGGTAAGCATCTGTAAAACTAAATCACCACAACAGAAGCAGCAGTTTCTGTGTCCCTAAGACAGAGATTGCTACAATGCTCAGGCCAAGGAGACTATGTGGATGGTAAACCCTAGCCGTGACAGCTCTGCCTTGCCACATCAATCCTAAAGCTTGTTAAAGACCTGCTATGAATCAACAAGTTTCAGACATTGTAGGCTATCTTCCAATCATTCATAATAGTAAGAGGGGGTGTCTCACATTTTTACCACTAAGAAGCTATTATGGAATGAACGTAAAGCAAGGTGGAATCCCCAGTCTCATGTTTGGTGTTCCCTGAGTCTCATTATGATGCATATTGCAAATAGTCCCTGCCAGACTAAGCTTGTGCTTGAATGTGAGGGGGAAGCTGGGGCTACAGCCACCAAAAATGGACTTGTACTGCGGTACAGACCTGTTCATTTCTGCAAACTTAATTGGCCACACTTACAGACAGCAGTGCTTGCCTGAACAGCTTCAATCCTTCAGGACTTTATTTGTCCTTGCCTAATGTGTGCCCATAGCTGATACCAATCGAGATGAAGCTTCTGTATTCTAAGATTGCCTATCACAGAGGCAGGACCAGTGGGGCAGATACATGAAACTCTCTGTTCACTTCTTGTGAACAGCAGGGCTGGCCTGAAAGCCTACAATGCCAGCCCCAAAGAGATAAATCCAGCTGCACTGGAACTTAACTTCAATTTTGAAAACTAAGGACATGAAATGACAAAGAGAAGCATGAATGACTAAGAGAAACAAATGTATTACTACCAACTCCCATGCCTAGAAAAATAAATATGAACAAAACCATGCAAACTAGCATGTTTTTTTCAAAAAGAAGTTTACATTTTCCTAACCCATTCTACCATCCGAGTTCTACTCATTTCTCCAAACTGTTTTGTCCACCTGACATTCTGAAGTGCACCAGGCTCATCAGATCGTAGCAATCCTGCAGACTGCCTTGATAAATATCCTGAGGTTAGGAAGACATGAGTTGCACTTTGCAGGAAAATCCCTCTCTGTAACAATTTAGCCATCAAACCGAGTGTCATCTTCCCCGACTGAACAAGAACTCATGAGGCTACACCTCCAACACTGGCTCCTTCTTTCCAAGTAGAGACAATGTTAACAGCTGAGTTTCCAACTCTGCTTCACAGTAAACTGAGATGAGAGAAGTTGAAAAACACAGAGGCATAAAGGGTTAATAAAAGAATGATCATATCCTCAATAAAATATTTTTACAACAAAAAATCCTGTTCAAAAGAAAAATCAGAATTTATCAAAACTCAACTCCGATAGAGTTCGAATCTCTGTATGACTGCCACTACAAAAATTAAAACATAGACGCAGATCAATTTCCTCTGTTTCAAAAGTGAGGCGTTTTTAATAGATCTCGTTTTATCATTGGGGAAAAGTTCCACAAAAGTGGTTTCAATTATTCTATTGTTAGAAAAACTTCAAAACCAAAGATGACAGAAACGTAAGTACAGGAGCGAGAGAGGACCTGGTAGTTCCCTTGCTGTACAACCCTGCGAGCTAGAGCTCAGCTCCCAGCACCCACAGAATAAGCCAAGCACCCCAGACATGCCTATAATCTCAGCTCTGGATGGGTGGAGACAGGAGCTGTCCAAGACATCCTGGCTTCTATACTGGCCCAGAAATCATGGGCCCCAGGTACAAGGAGACACTCTGCCAGAAGGGAAGAGGCAGATGGTGACAGAGGAAGATGCTAACTCCCTAGTCTCTCTTCAACACATATGTGTGCCCCAAACACGCATGTGTCCATACACTCAAACACAGAAGGTAAGTATATTCATCTCAAAAGCTATAACATAAA